GTGTTGTCTCAGTGCCAAGTGGTAGCTGAGCTGCAAAGCTCCTTTAAGCTTCTCTGTACTGGCCTGAATGAAGAAGGATAATAAAACTCTACAAGCTAACAAACTCACTTGTGAGCATTTAGCGAGCTCAGTGGCTTTGCCTGGTAGCTAAAGGAAACTGAGGATATGGTGTATCATAAAATAATGGGGGATTTGGACCACGAATGAATAATTCCTTCAGAGACCCCTCACCATAGAGCTGTATATGTCAGTAGAGCATCAGTCTTTTAATCGGAGGGCCCAGGGTTCAGGTGCAGCCCCGTGCCATCACATTATACACTCTAGATCATGGACTGATCCACGTTTTTCATTCTGAGCCTGACAAACATATTGTATTTCATGTCTGAACCTGAGCAGTTGGGTTTCTGTTTCATGCGACTAATATCATGACTAGCATAGTCATGCACTTAACCAGCTCGTCATTTTAATTTTTAATAGGCCTAGGACTTTAAATTAGCCTACAGGAGAAGCAGGGAAACATTTTCAAATGTTTAGCCTAAAGTTTGACCTCTGTGTCTAATCCCAAACAGGATTTCTAAATATCTGTCCAAATCTGACCCGAGCCCTTGACTACTAATGTGTCCTGTCGGGCTCAGTTCAGATGTCCACCCTCTAATACACCGTTTAGGTGAATTTGAGAGCTAGAGTTTGTGGAAACAGCCTGAAACCTCAGGTGTAGTTTATATAAAGTGTAGCCTAACATAACTAAGGTCTTATTCACAGAGTGGATAAAACACAGCCCTTCTTGTTCATTTGAGGGGGGGATGTGTAGTGCAGCAGCGAGAAGCGGTTTCTCTCAAACAATGCAGCGTTCTTCATCAAAACAGTTGCATCTGGTTCAGCTGGGCCCTTTCTTTACTGGCCTGGCCGTTGCCTGGGTAGCTCAGTTGGTAGAGTATCAGACTTTTAATCTGAGGGTCCAGGGTTCAAGTCCCTGTTCTTTGTCTGTCTCATAATGTGAACATCTATTCTGATGTAGAAGTGAATTTGATCAAGAGCACAGTACATGTGGATCCTGTATGTGCAGGTACAGAAATGAAAGAACTGCCTATGTCAAATGTTCTCAAGTAAACCCAAATTACTTTCAGTTGCACATATATATGCATGAATAGTTTCCAGTGGGGTTATACATTGCATGGTTTCCGTGGTGTTGTGGCTAAGTACACTTAGACAGTAGATGGTTTTAAAATATGCACTAAAAATGCATGTGGGACAAAAACCGGAGACTCCGTCCCAGTTGGAAATGTTCTCAACAGTCTGTTAATAGTCACTTGGCAAAACATAATGCTACTTCCCTCTCCAGCTCCAGAGATGATATTCTGTCTGCCAGCCTTTTCTTTAAACGTAAGGCGCTGTCAGCGTACACAAGTGTAGCGAGTACACCACTAACGCCAACAGCCTGTTTCAAAGAAACACAGTAGAAGCACATCACAGGACTTCCTAAATATATATCTGTTAATCTGAAAACGAGGCTGCTCAAAACCTTCAAACGCTACATTTCCCAATAATGATGTTAACACAGTCATACAGACTTGTATGTGTATATATATGCATGTGGGTGTATGTGGTTTCCAAGCCTTTATTTCAGCAGAGATGAATTGGCTCTCAGTTCTATGCAGCAGATTGGAGTTGGTGGCGTTTCAAATCTGCCTCAGCACCTGTTAACAGGATGCCTCACTCTGAAAAGTTCAGCTCCAAAATCACATCTCCACCATTTTCAAAAGCTCAGCATGGAGTGTATCCACCCACAGAGCGATGGCGGACATGAAAGTCTTCTCATTTTTAACCTCTTAAAGCACGGCGGGTGCCGGTGCACCTCAGCACCGCGGTGGTGTGGTTACAGGAGCACACTTCTCATCACACCCAGCGCACATTGACAGCTGGACAGTCATAGTCGATTGTTGGTGGGAGTAACAACAAGGACATCACAATTATAGCTAGCTACATATTTACACTCAAAACAAAATGGCCACAACTCTGCAAAAGGCACAGATGACATTTACCCAGCTGAACAGGTTGTTGTAAGTCGACTTAAAAACACAGACTTTTAGATCAGTTGATTTCTTAGATTATTGTTAACTGCTCTGACCATGAGCACACTTCTGTGTTTTGTAAAAATGACATCAGCAGCACAGAATCATCACTTGTCACTGATTGGTTAGGTCAAAACCAGTTGTCTCCCTTCCCGAACACAAAGTGGCTAACCAGTGATTCAGTGATTACACATCCGTGCTGTGCAGCCAGATGCTGTTCAAACACTTGGACCTTTATTTTAAACTTAGCAGGTTTTCATGCATAGCAAATGTGTCAGGCTGAATTTTGAGAAAATGTGTACGGCGTGGTGTCGCTAGACTTTTACCATGTGATCGATCGCTGCAGCCAAAAAAGCTTTGATTTAAACTTTGACTCAGCATAAACATTGTGAAAACACAATAAAGGACTGGTTTGGAGTGCGATAAACATGGATGTCAAGGTATAAAATAATCAAAAATAACTGGGCCACATCTTAAAGTCGTGCACACTGCTGTATTGACCAGTTTCAGCTCTGATACATCACATTCCAGAACAACACATAGTCAACGCTGTTCGGTTTTTTGTGGGGCCCGCAGCAACGTCTCAGAGCCGATGGCGTTGTTAGGGTGTGCTGAAGCTGCAGTTGTGTTGTTTTGTTGTTTAGCTAGTTGTTGTTGTTGTTGTTGAGGGTTCTGATTCTCCTGCTGGAGCCAAATGGGACTTGGCAGACTGCGGTGATGACTGTGACCAGGACAGATTGTCTCCTATGATTCACCAGCACAATCATGCATGAACTGCTGATGTGTGGGTGTGAGTACAGTGCGTGTATCATCTGTGGGTGGATGCACCTTTATGTGATACCGGTTATGTCCAGTGACACACTGTACACAAGCGGTTTATACGAATTACATTAGATCAAATTCAGCTGTACTGTCATGGAATAAGTAGGTACCAGTACAACAACACAGTATAGATGGACAAAGAGAAGAATGAACAATAACCCAGTGGTGCAGTGACAGTAAGACAGGAGGTAACTGGAAGGAAGTCGTGAACTTTATACAGTGGTTATGTTACAATCACTATCATGTACATTGTAAAAGCTTCATCTGAGTTCCATCCATTATCTATACCACTTACTCCTGAACAGGGTCATGGGGGGGGCTGGAGCCAATCCCAGCTGACACTGGATGAGAGGTGGGATTTTGTTGCACCCAGTGTTAGATTTCACAGTGACTACTACTGTATGACAAGTCTTGTTATTGTGCTGTGTCACCCAGACTACCCTCACGGCATCAGACTAACGTCAGCGAACCCTGGAGGAGAGAGGAAGGTGCTGATCGTCTTCACGGCTCCGAGCCAGCAGGACCGAGCACGCTTCACCTCCGACCTCCGAGAGAGCATCGCAGAGGTCCAGGACATGGAGAAGTACAGGGTGGAGTGTAAGTGTACTCTAGTAGTAATAGCAACAGTGGCAAACATAGTTGTAGTACTAGCTCAAGTATAACTCCTCGTGTCCAAGCCCTAGAAGTAGTCATGTAGCAGTAATATAGTCAGTAATTAGGAGATCCACATCTCTTTGGAAGGACATCACCTGAGTACTGCAGAGAGGAATGAGTAATGATCTTTTTTAATTGATACTAACAGTAGACACAGCTGAAGTAGTACTTAGTAGGTAGATCTCTAACACTCACAGCAATAGGAGCTTTAGAAGCTATTGTACTATTAGTTATCATAACAGTGCAAGTGATTGTAGAGGTTGTAGTAACGATAGCTGTTGCAGTAGTAGTGGTAGAAGTAAGAACAGCAGTAATAGTAAGAATGTAAACAGAAGTAGTGCTAAATTGTATTTACAATATGTGTAGGGGCAATATCTGTAGTAGAACCAGTAGCAGCAGTAGTGGTTGTATTACCAATACCAGATACAAAACTTGTAGTATAATAGCAATACTAGTACCTGTGGAACTAATAGAAGTAGTAGTAGCACCAGTGCCAGATGCAGGAGCAGTAGTAGTACCAGAGGTCGTAGTATAAATAGCAGCAGCACTATTAATAGTAGTACCAGAGGCAGTAGTAGTAGTAGAAGCACTACTGCACTACAGGGTGGCTGTGGCTCATGAGGTAGGGCAGTCATCTCCTGACCAGCAAGTTGGTGGTTCGACTCCCGGTCTCTCTGCATGCCTAAGTGTCCCTGAGCAAGACACTGAACCTCGAATTGCTCCCGGTGGCTTGACTAGCGCCGGTGCATGGCAGCCTGTCGTCATCGGTGTGTGAATGTTGTGTGTGAATGGGTGAATGGTGTATGATCTTCTGTAAAGCGCTTTGGCCAGTGCAACACACTGTGAGAAAGCGCTATATAAAATACAGTCCATTTACCATTTACCAGAAACATCATAGCAGTAGTAGGAGGTAATTGAAATAATAGTCGTACCAATAGTAGTTGTAGTGGCAGTATTAAGTAAAAGTAGTTGTAGTAGTAATATCATGTAAAAGCAGTATCAGAAGAAGTTGTAGCAGTAGCAGATACTGCAGTAGTAGAAGTAGCTCTGCCTCATCAATGTGATGGGTACTCTGGTTGTGGACGACAGGCTAACGCCCCCCGTCCCTTCTCTCCCTCCAGCTGAACTGGAGAAGCAGAAAGGTGTGATGCGTCCCAGCGTGTTGACGGGGGGAGGACCCAGAGGCGGGGTGACACCCGGGGGTATGGCCAACACCGGCGGCGGGCCTGTAAAGAGCGAGGTGAACGGCACTCTGGGTAGGCCGTGCCTTGACGACACGTACGCCTCAGTGGACGGACTCAAACGCACGGCGCTCAGCTCCTCACTGAGAGACCTCTCAGAAACAGGTGAGGATACATGTCCTGTGTCTTCTCCTGATACGGGGCTGATCTGGGACATTTTACTGCTTCTGTTTACTGCTGGAGTTTCTCAGTATGACTCCGAGAAAGCCTACACCTGTGCTCTTATGCAGCTGATGAAATACTCCTGAAATCTAAAATGGTAATACACAGTAATACCAGAAGATGGGAGGCTGTCCTGGTGCTCTGTCTCCACCTACAGGCCAGCTGCAGCATCTACAGCATTTAAACATGGACTTCATTATGCAGTACTTAGTTGGTGTGTTTTGAATTCCTCGGTGAACAGATACAACTAACATGATAAGAAGTGCACTAATATCCTATCGGTACTGATCATGTTTATAAATCAGTATCAGGATCAGTCCCAGTTTGTGTTACTGTTGTCACGTGGTTTGTTCTGGATCTTTTCTGTAGGAGCACAGAACGTATTAAAGAATAATTCACAAATAAAACTGCTAAAAGCCTACTGTCATTAAGGGTCAGAAGTATTATTAGTAAAATACTCTTCCGGTATATGAAGTACGTGTATCCATTACACAGCAGAATGGCCCCTCAGAGTTCTAATAATATATAAATATCATGGATATTTATTACTGATGCATTAAAAGATTTTAATGCTGTAGCAGGTCGAGGCTGCACATTCATAAATTTGAATGCTTTGTATACATTTGTAAAGTTTGTTCTGTACAGCAGTGGAAAAACTACATATAAATATACAGTGGGTACAGAAAGTATTCAGACCCCCTTAAATTTT